AGTTGTCCATAACAGAGTTTCTCAACTTAACCTCTGTTTTTGTCTCACGTGCTGACCTGTATTTACCTCACTCACTGGCCATTTTCCATCACTTTCAGTTCAGGTTCCCCAAATACCACCCAACCCACCTCCATTACAGCCCTGCTGTTTGTACCTACAAGTTCTACTCTAAGCAGCTTGGATCCTTCTGCTTCAGCTACTCCCTTTAGGACCAAACAGAATATCACTGAGATGTCAAACACAATGACAATGTTTCTCAACCATTTTAAAACCATACACCCTTTGGAGAAATGTAAGATTATCATGTATGCGCAAACATGTTCACACACACATTCAGAATGGTATGCCCTAGATCAGGTAGTTTGTGATGGATTTATAATTTCTATTGTAAAAATGTGTTTTTTTCATATTCCAAATGTAAAGTTAAAATCCTGAATGTTTTTTTCAAACTGAAACTCCCCCCTCCCCATCCACCAGGACCACATTATCAAATTCTGATTTGCTTCTCTAAAAGGATGTGTCTTCTTCACCAGCATCCACTGAAAATTATTGCACATGAAGGACACATACAGATGAACACAGAATGATATTAACAGTAACAATTACTGAGCAATACATACCATGTACTTTACATTTTTCTCTGATATCCTTACAAAAGTTGCAAAGTAGATATTATCATTATCCCCATTTTATAGACAAGGAAAACTGACAGAGAAGTTAAGATATTTCAATGTCTCTCAGATAAATAAGCATTATTGAATAAGATAAAATGCTCTTTGAGTGAAAAACAGGTTACTTTTCTCATGTAAGTGGTTAAAAATATGTATATTTGAAGAAAGACAACATCATTATCATGCCTGTATCATTACAGACCAGAGTAAAAGGAATTTGCTTGTAGAGTGATTCAGTAACATCAGAGGGCCATGAGAAAGATGGCACAGTGGAAAAAGCACCAAACTGAGAGCCAGGAACTGAGCTTTTGGTCGCAGCTCCCATGCAAAGCGGTTAGATTGTAATAAGTCACTTAAAATGAAGACTGACAAGGAACATTCTAATCCTCAGTACTATGACCATGATTCAAGAGTAATTTCTCTAGTTGTTGCTATTAAAGGAATCATATGGAAACAGAAGTGGAAAGAGTATCTCAGATCCAGTTCAGTGGCTTTACGTAGCTCAAAGGTTGGGAATTCGAGGGCAAGAGAACCACTAAGCAGCATGTTTAAACTAAATGAAGACAGATGGACCCCCACCTCTGTTAGCTCGCTGTAGGACAGAAATGGGCAAATGTATAATAAAAATTAGGGAAGGGGAAAATATTTATGTTCATAGTAATAAATTCATGAGTGGAGTTATGCGTCACCATTGGACAATGCTTTTCCTACTGTTTTATAAAGCACCAGAATGAGCAGCAAATTGGGAAAAGAAAAAAAAATAAAGAACGATTTATGCCAAGGCCAAGGTTCAATAAAAACTAAGGCAAATAAAACAATACCTTGAAGACAATGCTGGCCACACCTTCCAAAAACCCTGCACAGGATCTTGACACTTGTATGCTGAGGTGGCACTTAAAATTCAGTGAGTCTTACTTTAGCAAAGTCTTCACTACCATAAATAACTTTTAATTTTATTTTTTAAAGATTTTATTTATTTATTTTTAAGGAGAGGGGAAGGGAGGGAGAAAGAGAGAGAGAAACAGCAATGTGTGGTTGCCTCTCACATGGCCCCCACTGGGGACCTGGCCCACAACCCAGGCATGAGCCCTGAGTGGGAATCAAACCCACAGCACTTTGGTTTGCAGCCCACACTCAATCCACAGAGCTATACCAGCCAGGACTAAATAACCATTTTTTAAATAACTACTTGTTGTCGAGCACAATGCCAGGAGTCACAAAAATATAAAAAGAAATATAAAGCATGTCTCTAACCACAGAGAACTTAGTTCAAAATGCATGGGGAAATCAAGAAAATAACTAAAAATAGCACGTGCCTGTGTGTACATCCACTTGCTTAGGAATTTAAATCGTATTTCCCCCCAGAAACAACACAGAAAACACTGAGACTTCTAGGTCTCTCTTCAAACTTATTTAATGGTTATTTGGTTGAGCCTCAGTATTCCTTAATTCTCAAAGTGATTCTCAACCAGTTTGCTATAAAGCTGGAAAAATCATATGCAAATTGTAGCTTTATAATTAGAAAATAAAAACTGATTTTTCATGACACAAAAACCTACTACTTTCGTTAAATAAATTTAGAGTACATGGTAGCTATAATTATATACACCATACTATGTATAAGTACTGCTCCAGTTGCTTTATGTATAACTTATTTGTCATCATTTTACTCATTTTATTATTAAAAACAACCCCAAGGAGGAGGTACTATCTACATACCCAGTATAAAGATGAGTAAACTAAAATATGGCAAGGTCAAATAATTTGCCTAGTCACAGAACTCAACAAAGCTTCTTGGCTGGTGGACATACACAAAAGTTACTGTTTTCTGAGCAACCCCATCACCCAACATTTGTCACTGAGGCTGAAAATAGGGTTGGAGGCATGAGGACACTTACAGTTCCATAAGCACTTTTTTTTGAAGGCTACATCAACTAAAATGAAAGGATTCAGAATAGTATAGCTCCAAAGAATTATATATTGCTTATATCACAGACAGATTCACACAAGGCCCTAGGATATACGAAGTATGTCCAGAAGGTATCCAGCCATGCAATATGAAAAACAGAGACATTTATTGAAGATAGAAGATACAAGAAACATTGTACATAGGACAATGACGCCTCAGTCCCCTTCAAAGCAGGCACCTGGGGACCTCACACAGTTGTCCCAATCGGCATCAGCTGCCCTGTTGTATTTTCCTGCATCTCATCAATGGTCTGAAATCTCTTCCCTTTCAAAGGTGATTTTAGTTTTGGGAAAAGTCAGAAGTCACAGGGCACCAAATCTGGGCTGTAGGGGGACTGTTGAGTCACCTGGTTGACTTGATGTTTCACCAAAAATCTCTGCACAGGATGTGATACATGAGCAGGTGCGTTGCTATGATAAAGCTGCCAATCACCAGTTGCCCATAGCCGCAGCCTTCTGAATCCTCCAAATAGTTTCCGCAGAGGAATATTCAAGCTTAAATGCAAAAGGTGATGTAGATTTGTTGCTCTACTCACTCAGTCATTTTGAATACAATGGCCACACAGTGCACATGCTCACTCAATGGTGTATAGCACCCCCACTGACTAGGACAGTGAAGCTGCTACCATTGTTTACACATGCACATTTCAGTCCTCTCTCCTTGGCTGCCAGGTTACATCAATGTGGCACAAACCATTCTTGTTATCTTTACAATGGCTGGCTGGAATTTTTGTGGATAGACCTCGTTATGTACATGGATAGTCACTAAAGCAGGGTTTGTGGTAGCCAATAACTGGAAACAATCTAAATGTCCATTAATAGAGTGCAGGTTAAATACATTTTGATATTTCTACAAGGGAATGCTATCTAGCCTTCTTAAAAAATGATGTAGTCTTATACTTATGGATATGGAAGAATATCTGACATATAGTATTGAGTGGCATAGAAAGGTGTAAAATAGCATGTGTTTTGTGATTCCACTTGTGAAAATAAAAAAGGGGGAAATATATATGTTTGTGTACTTGAATATGATCAGAATATTTCTTAGGAAAAAAATTATATACAGTGCTTACTTCTAGAAGACGGGAAATGGGGAAAGGAGTAGACAGACTTTTGGTTTTTTATTATACTTTTGTATTAAATTTCATTTTACCAAAAGCATATACTGCTAAATTTAAAATGGCCTGTTAAAAATAGAGCACTACAGAACCTAAACTCCACTTAGATAGCAGCTCCTAACAATAAAGTGGTATGTTAATGATCAGTGGTCAGTTCCCAAATAATTTATTCCTACTAGGAGTTAACCTAAGAAGTGTATGAATGGTTTATTTTTAATAAAAAGTAAAACCTACATCCTTCTAATTAATCCATTAATGCAAAGGAGGAGAGGGGCATTTAAGAATCAAGCAGAAGGAAAAAATAATTGTCTCTAACAGATGAATATTTTTAGGAGAATCTGCATCCCAGAACAATGGAGGGCCTCAAAACATATTTTTAAAAAGAAACCCCTTCAGTCTGGAAGTCCTTAAAGATGCAGACAGCTTTCTTGAAAAGTAAGGAAACACTTTCATATGGACTCCAAATTAGTTTGGAAGCATCCCAGGGAGTAAGAGTTGTTTTTCATCCTTTAAAAAGTATGCTTTTGCATATTGTATATTTACAGTGCCATTTATCCATTACCTATAATGAAAGACACAGTATTTTGAGAATGCTTATTTTAAATGTTTTACTGATAAAGGCTGCAATAAAAAAATGGTTGGAAACTAATGACATAGACATACAAATTTAATGCAGCAAAGAGAAAAGCATTTAATGGTCATTCATTCCATAGCCCAGGGATGAAGAGTCAAAGCTGTGAAACAGTGTACAATGCCTGTAATTTTTTTAGTTCTCAACCTTCTCCTATATGTATTCCATGACCAAACCCTGCCATTTTCCAAAAGAGCACTTCCTGGTTTTGCCCATTCACAATCATCAAACCATCCAAATTTAATTTACTTCATGCTTTGGGAAAGGCCTTCAGCTTCTCTGTACAGACTTCTCCACTGCCGTCTTGCAGACTGTAAGATTCTTTGAAAGCTCTGAGAGTGTGCAACCATTTTCAAAAGTGAAAGCATTTATCTAGTAATGTTAGATACCTGTTTCATTCCACACAGACCAATTGGAGCTCTTTAAATAAAGCAAAGATATTCCTCACTTGTCAAGGGGCTCATCCCCCCCCCCCCCCCCGCCCCCTCACACTACCACCGCTCACGTTGTGCAGAATAAACATCCTCCACATTACCAATCAAGTTTTTTTTTTTTGTCTGCAGTACCTCCAGTACTCTCCAGGAGTCCCTTTCACTGTAACAGCCGGCTCACCTCTGATTCCTGGGGTTTTAGGCTTGGTGGAATTGCAATAATCATCCCTCTCTCCAAATCTCTCCAGCAACTCCTAGTCAGAATTATCTCACAGGCCCTCGTTTATGTTAATCTCTCCAACGTTTCCGTGATCTCCGCCCTTAAGAACTTTGATTTGTTTGGGTCCTGCCTCCCCTTCGAGACTCTGTTTGTTTAGAGCTTGAGCCCAGAGCCGGAAGGTTCTCTCCGACATCAGCCGCTGCATACCTAGGCCGGCCTCAACAGGCCATTCGGGGAGCAAGGCCACGCAGGGAAGACTGACCCGAGCGGTTTTCTCAGTCGCTCCCAGCTGAGAAAGGTCCTGGAGGAGAGGGGGAATTGCACACACGTCGAGGACGTGCTGGGCAACCCTGAAGCCCTCGGGCCAGGCCAGCAGGCGTGTGGGCGACTAGAACTTGGCCTGATAGGTGAAGGGAGGCGAGTGAACGGCCAGATCTCGGACTGAGTCAAAGAGGCCAGGCGGGGAGGGGATCCGCCTGTGGCTGCTTCGGCAGCTCCACAGGCCCTGTAGCTGGGGTTACCGTTAAAAGACAACGGAGGGGAGGAGTTGGGGAGCGTCCCCCACTCACCTGAAAGAGACTGACGCCAATGGCTCCAGCTGCCCCCCTCCCAAATTTAAGCCACGTCAGCCTGGGAATCCCGAACACACCGCCTACCACCGCTGTGCCCGCTGAAGGACTCAACCACTCGCAGTTGGGAAGGAAGACGGGATTAGCACACTGGCCAATCAGGACTATTGACAAAGCGTTGCCAGGGATACCAGGCACGCCTTGTTCATAACCAACTCACCAACAAAGCCCGAAACCAATCAACTTCAGCAAATGCTCCGCTTCCTCAAAGAAACAGCCAATGGGCTCTAAAGAATGGTGGAGGAGCGGACTCTGACCCTCGAGCTAGTGTTCCGGAAGAGGATCCGGGATCAAGCCGGAAATTCCGGAGTGGGGCGGGGAGTAGCAGTTTGGTAAAGGTCAGGTGTTTTCAGTGTCAGGTGGGTCGCCCGAATTCTTCGAATTCTTCTGTGTACTAGGCCGCGCGATTAACCCGCTTACCGCTTGGCCATTGGGCTTGTTGAAAAAAGCTGTGGGAAGAGTGGAGTTGTAGATTATGCTGTTAGAGTCATAAAATATTAGAGCTGGAAAGTGAGTCGTCTAATACTACCTTTTCATTTTACTCATGAAAAATGAGAACCAGACCAAAGGGCCTCTCCCACAGACAAATGACGATTTAATGATGAAACTTGAACTAGAACCTGGTGTTTGTATGAAAGAGGATCAGAGATGTTTCTAAGGATGAGAGAATAGTGTATACTAGGAAAATACTTTCTTGAAATGACAAAAGCATAGAGAATCTAGGATTCTAGATTTCAGGGTGGGCGAGAGAGAATGCTGAATGGGTTTATAAAGGCCACATGAAGAATTTTTACGATGATAGAGCTGTTTCTGCATCTTAACTGGTGGAGGATATATGAACCCACAAATGTAGTAAAAATAGAACTAAATACACGCACAGTCACACAAGTACAAGAAAAACCAGGACATTTGAATGAGACAGTTGCATCAGTTTCAATATCCTGGTCGTCATATGCACTGTTTTGACATGTTACCATTGGGGAAAACAGTAAATGGTACACAGATCTCTCTATTGCGCCTTTACAACTGCAGGTGAACCCACAGTTACCTCTAAATACGAGTTTAATTTGAAAACAAAACAAAAAAAGCAGCACTCGAGGTGTGCTGAAGGTGAGATTTGAAGACTCAGTCCTGGAATCAGAGCAAGTGAGGAGCTCCAGTAAGGAGTCACTGAAATCATGCATGCTCTACTTAGGCCCCTCTAAAGGAAAGGGGGGAAAGTAGCCAACTCCTGTGATTTCAGGCACTACCCCGACAGTAAGAATATTAGCTTGAATTTATTACGGCTTACTGTGTGCCAGGCACTCAACCCACTATAGCATCCTTACCTTCATGCTCAGTAAGGCTTTTGCAAGCTGCCCATCTAAAATTTCAGTCCCCTGCAATTACTGTATACTATTCTTGGAACTGAAGATAGAGCTGAGATCAAAAGAGGAAAAAATTCCTGGTTTTTTGGAACTCAATCTAGTAAGGAGAAAATGAAGATAAATAATATAATACAGCAGATGGCAAAATGCTTAGGAAATAAAATTAGCAGAGAAGCGGGTACAGTGCATGCAGGGGGCTGCAATTTTAGAAAAACAGACCAGGCCTGATGACTTTTGTTTCATCCTCTTATAATCAAAACTTGGAATGTACAGGGCAGCCCTGCCAGAGCCTGACACGAGCCAGGACTTGGAACGTCTTCTCCAGGCTCTCCAAGAGCTTCTAGTTGAGGTCAATAAACAAAGGGAATGTTGCTGAATAGGAACTGCAGCTGCTTAGGGCTGAGGCACCCAGCTGACTGCATCAACAGCTGAAAATGCTCCCTGATGATATGCAAACCTCTTAGGTAGCTGCTCTCTGTGTTATATTTAAATAGGCATTAAGTATAATCCTTATTAATCAAGGTTTCTCTAGCCATAAAGAAAAATCTAAATTTTGAGATTTGTATTTTGTATGAAAATGTTTGTGTATATTTGCTCTGCAGAGCTCTGGCTTCTTATCAGTTATATTCCCCTCTATCAGCAAAAATCCCAGAAGAATCCAAAGTGTACCAAACACCCCATACTCAAAGCCTAAGAAAAGATTATTCTTCTGAAATCCCTAGCCCTGATAGGTAGTGAGCCATGAGTGTTTCTTCTGGAAGTGCAGAGATAACTGTTCATATTTTGTTGCTCATTTCTCAAGTGGGGCCCTCCTACAGAATTCCTGTAGTAGATGGGAATTTGTGTCATTCATACCTGTGCTGTGGCCAAAGGGACTGCTGTTCTGAATTGTTTGGGCTCTCTTCTGATGTCCTAGGAGGCCAATATGACATGGGGTAGATTTCAGACTATTTGTCTCCATGTAACAGTTGGTAGTCATTCTTTCATATCGATTGACTCCTAGAAATAGATGTCACAGGAGACCTCCTACAGGAATTGGGATTTCTGTTCTCTTGACTTTTCTCCTAGGAACATTAACACTCCTGATTAGACACTAGACTCGTGGAGGGACTGAGCTGGCTTTACAAAAACTAAGACCAGGCCTGATGACTTTTGTTTCATCCTCTCACAGTCCTTAAAACTTACCACGTACAGCAATCCTTAATGTGTATTTTTGTGCCCATCTTCAGGCTTCTGGTCTCCCTAGGTCTCTGTATATGATCCGTCTTTGAGGACAAATTTGGAAGAAATTAAGATTTAGTGGTCTATTATGTCTGCAGTATCTCCTTGCCTCCTGTTGGATAAGCTTTGGGATGGGGAGGTTGGGTGATAGGTCGGATCTCGGGAGGGCTATAAGTATAGAATAAGCAGTCTTCTCAGAGGCATTAGAGATGCCTGAGGGATGCAGAAGCTTGTTGGTTTCTGCTCCTACTCTGATATTAAGGCCCCATTCTCTGTCTTTCAGTTCTTGCTAAGCATCCTTAAGAAGTAGCAGTTTTTCCTGGCACATGGGAGAACAGGAGCACTATGAAGGCCAGGCATCCTTGCATGGGAGTTGATAAGGGTTGTCTCCCAGCCATGGTCTGGTTGGCAGCTGCTGCTGTTATAGCTAAAAAAGAGAACACTTAGAAACTTCCACTGAGTTTTCGGAGGCTAGAAAGACTAGAGTTTTTTTGACTCAAAGGCCTGAAATAGGTTAACCTCCAGGAAAATTAATTGAGGCCTCTTTTAACTTCAAGTCTTCCCCACTGAATCAGCAGGCTTTGGGTACTTCATGGAGCATGTGGAGCCAGGCAGAAAACCTTGGAAGCCATTGTAAGCAAAGGGTGGGAATGGCTCAGGCAAATGGGCTTGTTCTCCATAGGAGATGAAGCCACAGTGTTCTGTAGAAGAGAAGCAGCATTTATGCCACAATAATTCAGATACTATTTTGATATGAATCATTACTGAGCATTTGCAGTATATGAGGAAGTCACAGGGGGAGCAATTATGACTTTCTCTCATCCTAAGGCACCTAAAGACAAGGGCATGAAGAATCTTAAACCAAAGAGAAAAAAATTTCTAAGAGGTATAACCAAAAAGCTTATTCAGTGTTCACTCAACAAACACTTCTAAGTACAGACTATGTGCCTCACACTGGCATGGCTAAATTTTTATCTAGCAGCTAAAAATAAGTCCCAGGCTCCTAAGTAAGCTTTTTGATGGGGACTTCTCTAGCCCGTCAATTTGAAGAATGTTCTTATGTTCCTCGGAGTATGTGGCAGGCCCCTCTTCTGGATAACTTCCAAGTATTGTACTATAAAAGTTCCTAAGGATGCAGCTGTACTCAATGTGTTAATATACTGGCACAATGAGAACACTAGAACTCAAGTTATATATCAAACTGACATCTCTGATCTACTCATAGGAACTTTCAAGGACTATATCACTAAAGTCTACCCTCAGTAATATTCCTAGCAAAAGAATAACCAAGATTAACAAAGTCACCCTACCATTGTTAATATAACCAGTAAATTTGACGATTTTCATACAAGACACATACTGCGAGAAAGTCTATGAACTTCCTAATTGTCTGTGTGACCTAGGTATGCTCTGCTCAATAAACACCTTGATTTTTTTTTCAGTTTTTAACAAGATATCGTCTTCATTTACTACTTGAATACTAAGCATGCTATTTAGGAAGGTGTATTCAACCTAGACTCAAAACCAAGTTATTAATGGCTTTTGTATAATCAGCAGCAGTTAGCAGCCCCCCTCCTGATTTCTGATGTACTGTAAATGCAACACTACCCTCTGTCTCCTGCCTCCTCCCTCTCAGCCCTGAAATTTATCAACCTTCTCCCAGGATTAGCAGCCTTCTCTTTCACTTTCCCCACACACACTTTAATTAGGTTGATGGCCAAGAAATGCAGACTGATTAATATAAATGATTTAGCTACATAATTTATATACCCAGTAATAAGATACCTTATAGGAGTGCTGTGCAGGTACAAGTGTTTAGCCTATTCCCTGGGGCTGTCTTTTCCATTATAATATAAATTCCTCTTTACACCTGTGTGGTGATGAAAGCTGCACATTCTAGAAAAGGGCAGCTAGGATGTTGCCTCATGTTTTCTCTTCTGTATGTCATATTGGAATTGCATAGAGCCAGTATGGGCAACCCACATTTACTACTTTTTGATTTTATTAATCTTTCTATGCTACTGATTATACTTATGACCATTTTACTCCTGATTATACTGCATGAAATCCAGGGCACTAAAGTACCTCTTCAGTATTAATTGATTAAATAGATATCTTTCATTCCCTCTGAATACTCCTTCGACTGGTCATTTATTCTTTGATTCACTTCCTTGAGAGGTTCTGTCCATCCATCTCCCGGACCAAGTTAGTGAAACTTATATATACATCACTCCCTGCAAAATAGTCATGACACTTTAAATCACATACTTGGTTAATATGTATC